TCCTATGCTCTTGTGAGTCCCAGAAGTATGACTACAGAGTATTTGACTTTGGTAAGATTATTTAGCTCAATGGTTATTTTGATTGATTAGAGCTCTCTTAATGGAGTCATGGGGGTTTAAATCCTACTGGAATGAGTTGAAATAATGTGGGGTGATGTAGTAAAGAGAGCAATTATAGAGAATATTAGAAGTTTTCCTGGTAAAGAGAGCAAAGAAACTGACATTGGATGGGACATGCAATTAACAGGGTTTTCTTCAGATAAATTAAATTAGGTAACTTTGTATATCAATGGGTATGATCCTATCTATAGAAAGGGAAAAATTGAGGGTCTAAAAGAGAAAGCTTAATTGAAGGGGTAAAGTTTTGAGAAGGCAGTTGAGGATGAGATCCAGAGTGTAAGAGGAGAAACTGGTCTTTGGTTAGAGAAGGGATATTTATTCCATTTTAATGGAAGGGAAGACAGATTGTATGGGTTTGGAATCAGGTTGGTAGAATTGGTGGTAACAAGGCAAAGTAGTTCTTGTCTGTTTGCATTTATTTTCTCTTGGGAGTATAAGGCAAATTCATCAGCTGAGAGTGGGAAAGGAGTAGATGTTGGAGATTTCAGAGAGAGATAGGAGAGAGTGTTTGGAATACCATCTTGGAAAGAGAAATAGGGAACTGACCATCTTGGATGCCCTTTGAGGTATGTGTGATGAATTTGATGTGAGTCCAGTCAGCACAGTTGTTGGATTTTTCTCTTGGCATGTCCAGCTTCAAGGATGCAGTCAAGAATTAAGAGGAGAGTTGGGTTTGACCAAAGCTGAGGCTTTGCCAGGTGAGTACAATAAAGAAGAAAAGGGGCAAGGAAGTTAGAGTTGTTTTCAGTGAAGTGTGTATGACATTAGATAGGAAATCTAAACAACATAGAAGAAAAATAAGGCTATATGGCAGTGGGAGATTGAAAAAATGATTAGGATCGATGAATAAGAGGGCTCCATGAGTTTGGAGAATTACTGGAGTGGAAGTACTAGGGGAAGTAGGCTGGAAAGATAGGAAATGATGGTGAGAGGGTAGAACGTTTTGAGCAGAGATTTCAGAGGTGGTATAGTGATGACAAGGAATGGATTGGTTAGGTGATGAAAAGGTGACTGAGTTTAGAGGGAAGGAAAGATTGTTGGAGTCAGGAGAGAGGGCAGGGGTTGATGGCTCTTCTGCGTTGGTGTAGAGACTTACTGCAGGAGCTGTGGTGAAAAAGGATCTGTTGCTTAAGTTTCCAGTCAATGAGGCAGGATGATTGTGTAGAAAGGTTGACAGAAGAGGCCTTAGAAAGGCCTGCTTGCCAAATTGACCTTTGTCTGACATCTGAGAACCTAGGTTTTGAGAGGGTTCCCACCATTTCCAGAAATGATGAAAAGTGGCTCACTGTGCCTAAACTATGGAAACAATGTGGTTTATGCTGAACACCTGATTTCTTTCTGGGACTCTGGGACTTGTATATGCTAGGCACAGGATGCCTACATGACCAGGCCCTAGGAAAATCCTTGGGCACTAAGTCTCTGGTGAGCTTCCCTGGTCGACAACATTTCACACGTGACAGCACAATTCATTTCTGGAGGAATTAAGTATGTGCTGTGTGACTGCAATTGAGAGAGGATTCTTGGATACTTGTGTCTTGTTTCCTCTTGGCCCAATGTACCTTTTTCCTTAGCTCACTTTGTTTCATATTCTTTTGCTGAACTAAATCATAGTTATGAGTCCTGTGAGTCCTTCTAGCAAATTATCAAGCCAGAGGATTATGGGTTAAAGTCTGGTAATACTCTAAACAAGACAGGGACTTGGAAAGCTGAATGAAAAATGGTTGAAAGTAATATTTTCCTGATTTTTAGGTGTTGAAGTACGTGGATCATGGTGTGCAGAGACAGACAACCTCCACTGGGGGGCAGTGTAAAGGGCGCAGGATCCTCAGGAGACAGATTTCAGCTAAAGCAAGTGGGTGAGGTCATGGCTAAAGAGGTTGAAGGTATAGTGGAGTTGGCTGGCAGTGATTAGGGTTTCTGTAAAAGCCACTGTTTGAGCGTTCTGTTGGTGCCAGTGGCTGGGGATTGCAGGATAAGGGATTGGAGATAGATTGATGTGTTCCATAGGTATCAGTGGTTGAGGAACCTGTAAGAATATGTGATTGGGGTGTTGGTGGGGGCAAGTGATTAGAGACATCTCTCACTGTTAGTGATCGGGATATTTGTCAGGATCAGTCATTTTGGAATTACAGGCTCCATGATTGGGAGGCAAGTGACAGTCGTTGAGGTTTATAAGGAATCATTGAGGTTAGAGATTGCTTGCCTGTGGAGGTAAGGGGTTATCTTTAAATGTTAAACAAACATGTTTGAATGTACATTTATTAGTATCAAAATTCTCCAATAACTGTGTCATCCTTCTTTCACCTGCCTAATAAGGGGAAAACTTTAACGTGCATTCATTTCTTTCCTGTCCCCAACCCCCTACCAAGTTATAGTCCAACTCATTTTTCTTACATCATACTCCTTGACTTTAAGGATAGTTTTATAAGAATTGCACAAGGACATTATCAAGTTACATGGATGTAACTAGACATTTTACTGGCTTTATTATTCATAGCTCTGTCTTTTCATATATTAAGTCTTTACAAATCTCAAAATGTTTATTCTGATCGTTTTATTTTTAAAATGTTTTTGTTTTTAAAATTCATTCCTTTTTTTTCTCCCCCTCTTCCTTCTCCTCCTTCCCTGCCTCTCTCCTTCTATTTTTAAAGTACATAGGTAATATATTTTCTGTGTCCTTATATGCCCTAAATACTTTACTTTTGCCTCCAAATATAAATGACTTTTGACTGATTATAAAAATTAGCGGTCTCAATTCTTCTACCTCGGAACTCTATAAACACTATTCCATAATCTTTTTGTTATAGAAGAAAAGATAAAGACTGATTCTTGTTTTGTTTTGTTTTGTTTTGTGTACTTGTCTTTCTTTCTGAAAACTGTATAATTTTTTTTATCCTTGAATAAAATAATTCCCAGTAGGCTCTGTCTTAGTTTGGGCTTCTACTACACAAGACCATAGACTGAGTGGTTTATAACCAACAGAAATTTACTTCTGGTAGTTCTGGAGTCTGGGAGTCTGAGATCAGGATGCCAGCATGATTGGGATATGGTGAAGCTCCTTTTCCAGGTGCAGACTTCTTTTTGTACCCTCTAATCTCCCTCATGAAGACTCCACTCTCATGGCCTCATCTAATCCTAATTACCTCTCAGAGGCCCTATCTCCTCATACCATCTCATTTGAGGGTAGGGTTTCAACATAAGAATTTTAGACACAAACATCAGTCCATATCAAGGATATTTCTTAACATCATGATCAACAGTGAATGGTCAAGGTAAGTACAAGTCATTCTTATCGTGTACAAATGACTCACTAGTGTGGATAAAATTGGACTGAACAGGAATGTGCTATTACAGGGCTCAGTAACATTCAACGATGTGACTATGGCCTTTACCCAGAGGGAATGGGAGCAACTAGATCCTGCTCAGAGGAGCCTGTACAAGGACGTGATGCTGGAGAACTACAGCAACCTTGCCTCAATGGGTGAGGACAATTCCGTTGTAATTCAAAGTCTGTCTACTGTGATACCTTCTCTCTGAAGTCCTTGATAAGTTTGGCCTTGATTTTTATGAGTCAGAGTTGTAATCCCTTTCGGGTACAAGGCAGGATGCTTGTGCTCCTGCCTCCAAAATGGAAGGTCTACTCAGATGGGGTATTTGGGTATCTGCATTGTGAAATTTCCGAAGCCATATATTCTTTATCCTTTCAGAACTAGGAAGCTCAAATATTAGGGCTTGATTTCTGGGATGTCTGTTGTCCTAACACTTGATTTGTACCATTTCTCACGAGCAGGGCATCAAGCTCCTAAACCAGACGTGATCTCCAATTTGGAAAAAGGAGAAGAGCCGTGGCTGGGGAAGGGGAAAAGACCTAGGCAAGGTTGTCCGGGTGAAGTAGTGAGACCCAAACAAACAGGAGCCAATGAAAGTAAGTTCTTAATTTCTTGGTGGTAACTTTGGGATTCTCCAAAGGATAATTTATTCTTAAGTTCTTTTTAAAAAATATTAGACCCTTCTTTATTAACCAGGAAGTAGCAGTAGAAAAATATCAGAATCTCCTAGGGGAAGAGGAGTTCAAACTAAAAAGATTCTCTGAGCTTGGAGACTCTAATATCTCTTCCTTCTATGAATTTGTCCATGGGAGGGGTTCTCGTATGAGGTTCACTATAGTTTCAGGCCTGTCTTACTTAAGGGAATTTGCTTGTACCATTCAGTTTAAGCAAAGTTAGGCTCCAGTATGGAATTACCCCAAAATCTTAGTGGCTTACAAGAAGAAAGATATGTTTGTTGCTAAAGCTGCATCCCTGTTCCACATTATCTTTTGGACCTTCACTATTTAGCAAATTCTGGTTTCACAGCAAAGGGAAAGAAGAGCGAGTAAAATCACATGATGACTCTTAAAAGCACTGATTGGAAGTGGTAGATATCTCTTTCTGCTCACATTTTATTGGTTAATTGGTTAGAGCAGATCCCCTGGCCACTCCTAAGTTCAACAGGGCAGGGATGTATAACCCTTCCACAAAGGAGGGTTTCAAGGAGCTATACAATGGAGTTAGGAGGTATGAACCTTTCCCAGGGAACACTAATATAGTCTGCCACACCACTCAAGTTATGGTAGGAAAAAAGGTAAAAAACCAAGGCTCTAAATCTTTCATACCAATTCCTCAGATGCCTAACTGATCTTTCCATATAGCCATCTTTCCTCATCCATGCTCTCCATGGCTTATCTTTCAGAAGGAGCAATGACCCCCTCTTAACTGTTTTGTGAACCCCATTCCTACTTACTTATTTAAAGTAGTGCTTCTTTTTTAACCTTCCTTTTTCCTAATATCCTAGATTTCCTCCTTTCCTCCAACCAAAATTCTGAGACCACGTGGTATCAAATTTCCTTCCTCATATAGTCAGACCTTCTTAGATCTGTCCTCTTTCTGGCATCATGTTCCCACCCCTAATTACTTTCCATTTCTCTCCTTTTACTGTGAAATCCTTTAGACCTGTGGTCTACAACACATCATCATTTCCATTTTCTCCTTAACCTCTGCAGTCAAATCCCACAGAATTCCTGCCTGTCTAAATTTCTGACTTTAAAGTGATCACTGCCTACTTTCCAGTGCATATTTTAATAGCTTTGATCAGACTGAAATTCTTACCCACCTAGTTTGAATACCACTTGAATCTGATCTTACTTTCTGAGTACTCCTTTCCCATGTATTTCACGTGAGAGTCTTTCTTCTCATTCTGCTGAAATGTCCCTAAGGTTTTGTCTTCTACTTTCTATTCTGTTTTTCTACTGCATTTCTCCCAAAGGAATCATCCATTATGCAAAAACCAGCTGTTTATTCTATATTGGTGACTTCCAAGATAAATTTATCTTATTCAGGTAATCTCTAATTCCTCTGTGTTGCACTCATCTTTGCCTGCTCAGAGAACAGCTCATTCTCAGGGTGTCAGAAATTGACAGTTTTATCTTTCTTTCTAAATTAGAGTTTCCTTTCACCTTCCCTATTTTTATCAAGGTCTACTCTGAGGTCTGTCTACCAGGGAATTCCTCTGAATCTTTTCTCTCTTGTTTTGTTATCTTCTCCTCTGTTCCTGGTTTAGTTTTCTTCCTCAATTCTGACATCACCCAAATCAGATTCATATTATCTCATACCTAGATTGCTCCAATTCCAAGGTGTACTTGTTGAATCTACTTTTTTGTATAATTCATCTTAGATGTTGCCACCAAACATGAAAATATTCATTATTATTTACATCACCATAGCCCCAAAATTAGCAGAATGTCCACAATATCTTTTTAAGTTTCTTCTGACCCCAAATTTTCCAAGATTCCATGAACTTCCTATGACCAGAAGGACCAGTCCTACAAATGACAAATGAAGAGACCTCTTTGTTTTTGATCCATCCAGTGGTAGGTCCAGTTTTGGCTATCTTTACTTTTCTTGCTGATACTTAGTGTTACAACTAAAAAATTATCCTGAGTCATTTAATGCATCTTTGTCATTGCTACAGTGACAGTGTTCTTGCCTCAGGTTCTTATATAGAACTTGAAAGTTCTTCAAGGAGGGACTATTTTATTCCCTCCAATGATTTTTCTGGGTCTAGTGAGCTCCAAACTTAGTTTCTGGAGTTACAGTAATTTCTGCTTACAGTTCATATTTTAGTTACTGTCTCAGATTCAGGACAAGCCTACAGCCTTATTCACATGCTCTGTCAGACCCAACTCTCCCTTAGAATGATGCTATTATTGTACCGGTTCACTAGTTCAGATTCTCCTTCTTTCCTTCACGGTAAATTTCTCCTGTAGTGCTTTCTATCTTTTGCTCCTGGCCAATGTCAGTTGGGAACAGCCCAAGCCATCATTATAAGAGGTTCTTATGTTACAGCTCAAGGGGAATGGTTTGAGTTTTGATCCCTTTTTTCCTAGAAGGCAGTTTGCTTCTGTCCTCTCCAGCATTCACGGGCATTGGAAGATACCTCCACCATGCTCCGTAAATGTTCTAGTTATATTCTTTCTTCCAGGATGCTTGCATCACTTAAAATGCTCTAAATGAAAAAATTAGCTGGCAACTCCACCTCTCCCTACTGTATCTCTACCTCTACTATATCTATACTTATAAAAATTGATATTCTACTCCATGGGAACTAATCTTGTAAAAGTCCTTCATAAAAATTTCCTAGCTTACATTCAAATACCATACCACTTTTCTGTTTGATTCCAGTTTCCACTTTATCCTTATAATATTCCTTTAGGACCAAGGTGGCTATTTACTTTCTTTGTTTTTGAGATCTTGGGGACTCATATCTTCTTCTCTCTATGAGTCTAATTCACACCCTGAAGCTTTTTTCTGCTTTTCCATGCACATAGCTGACAAAGGCCACCCAAAAATGGTAGTCCCAGCCCTTAAGTTCAGGTTTTTATACATGTAGAAGCCATACCTAACTACAAAGAAGTCTTGAGTTTCAATTATAAATTCTTAAGAGAGCAAAATTATTGAACAAGCTGGGACCCTGTGTTTACCACTGTCCAATTAATTATTTTCAACCAGTCTTGGACTATATAGTACAAACATAGTTGCCTACATCTGTCAGTGTGGATGGTGGTCTCAGAGAAGGGAAACATGCATTGAGAAGATATTTTAAAATGTATAATTAATTGTATAATGTGTGGAGGGAGGAATGTAGGCAATCATTAGAGCTAGGAATAAGCATAAAATTTATAATTGGCAATTGGGAGACTGACCCAGCAGAAACCAGGGCATGCTCTATAGAAAACTGTTAGAAAACAAGCGTGTGTGTCCACTGTAAATCCAAATGGTGTAAAATTTGTTTGTCAATCTCATAAATGTGATTTTTATCATATGGTAAAAGCATCAGGGATTTTTTTCTTTTTCAGTACAGGAATGTCATTATATATTGATCATTGGTAGAAGCAGTGAAACACCCTTTCCTGCTTATTCCCTTAGTTACCTATGAGCTGTTCAGTAATCCTTGGTAGACTACCTTATTTTCTTTATTTTGGCTCTTGGGACTGCAATAACAAAAATGTACTTGAACTAGCCCAGGTAAATGGAGGAATTTATTATAAGGACATGGGTGTATCTCTTGTAACCTAAGGGGAGATTCTTGAGCCAGACCTTATTAAGGACTAGAACAAGGAACTGGAAAGCCATTAGGAACTGGGATTATGCAAATGGTGTCTGTGAGGGTACTTGATCTCTGCTTCTCTGTGCAAGCTTCATTCTTTGTCCTAATGAACTTTCTGTTTACACAGGCAAAATATGGCTTTACTACTTGTATCATTTTAAAATTTAAGCATTCAGGACTAACTAGTGTAAATTTCAGTCTGAGTTTCAATTATAAATTGAATTCAATTATAAAAAAAATTCAATTATAAATAAGATTTATTGGACATTTTGGTTAAGCTAGATGGGTCTCCAACTAGAACCATGGAGACCTGGATTGGTATAGTACAGGACATGGGAGTCAAATACTATGGGTAGATTGGAAGTCACCAAATCTTTGCAGCTTGGGCTAAGGAGATGCCTCAAAAAGTGTCAACTACAACCACAAGCTTTTTAAGCTTCATCTGTTCGCTAGTTATTGCTCCTCGTGTTTATTTCATCTTCTATCCCAAGTTGCAAGGTCACATTTATAAACATCCAAAGTTTTCTTCTAATCACTATTGCCAAATTTCTTTTCCTTTGTTTACTATAGCACTTTCCTTTTCAAGTCCAAGAGGATAGGGACATTTCATTCACTTTGGTATAGTAGGCTTGAACAAAGACTCAGCCCCACAACAGGGCATTTCTTTATAGACTGCATTCCAAAATAAGAGAGTGCAAAGATTCACAAGGATGCTTCATTGAATTCCATTTCAGAAGAAGTCCAGCAAGATGAGGATCAGCTAAAGAATCAACAGGAATCTCAAAACAAACTCCTTAGGGAAGCTGTACTCAAGAAAAAAACTCTGACTAAGAAGAAAGGCCATGAATGCAATTCACTGGGGAAAAAAGATGTGAGTACAAAACATGTTCCTTCAAAAAAAAAGCTTCTTAAAGTTGATTCACATGGAAAGAGTTTGAAACAAAATTTAGACTTACCTGGTCATATAAGAAATTGTGCAAAAAAGAAACCTGGTGTCGCTAAAGGGCACAGGAAATCAGTCAGCCATAACTTATCTGATACGAAGAACAAAACTCAAACTGGAAAGAAACATAAGAAATTATCCAACCATAGCTCACCTAATAAGTGTGACAAAACTCAAACTGGTAAGAAACATGACAACTTAGTTTGTCAGAGCTTATCCCATGCTAAATGGGAGAAAATTCAACCTGGTGAGAAACATGAAAAGTCATCCAGCCACAGCTCATCTCCTACTAAGTGTGACAAAACTCAAGCTAAAGTGAAACCCTATGAATGTAACCAATGTGGGAAGGTTCTCAGCCATAAACAAGGACTTGTTGACCATCAGCGAATTCATACTGGGGAGAAACCATATGAGTGTAATGAATGTGGGATAGCCTTTAGCCAAAAGTCACACCTTGTTGTGCATCAGAGAACTCACACTGGAGAAAAACCATATGAATGTATGCAATGTGGCAAAGCCCATAGCCATAAACATGCCCTCACTGACCATCTAAGAGTTCATACTGGAGAAAAACCCTATGAATGTACTGAATGTGGAAAGACCTTCAGACACAGCTCAAACCTTATTCAACATGTGAGATCTCACACAGGTGAGAAGCCCTATGAATGTAAGGAATGTGGAAAATCCTTTAGATATAACTCATCTCTTACTGAACATGTAAGAACTCATACAGGTGAAATACCATATGAATGTAATGGATGTGGAAAAGCCTTTAAGTATAGCTCATCTCTTACTAAACATATGAGAATTCATACGGGTGAGAAACCCTTTGAGTGCCAGGAATGTGGGAAAGCTTTCAGCAAGAAGTCACACCTCATTATACATCAAAGAACTCATACTAAGGAGAAACCTTATAAATGTAATGAATGTGGAAAAGCCTTTGGACATAGCTCATCTCTTACTTACCACATAAGAACTCATACAGGTGAAAATCCCTTTGAATGTAATCAATGTGGGAAGGCCTTTAAACAAATTGAAGGCCTTACTCAACATCAGAGAGTTCATACTGGGGAGAAACCCTATGAATGTAATGAATGTGGAAAAGCCTTTAGCCAAAAGTCACACCTCATTGTACATCAAAGAACTCATACTGGGGAGAAACCCTATGAATGTAGTGAATGTGGAAAAGCCTTCAATGCAAAGTCACAACTTGTTATACATCAGAGATCCCACACTGGAGAGAAACCATATGAATGTAATAAATGTAGGAAAGCCTTCAAACAAAATGCATCCCTTACCAAACATGTGAAAACTCATTCAGAAGAGAAATCTCATGAATGAAATTAATGTAGAAAGTCTTTTAACTGAACAGGTGTCATTTAACCTTAAAAGTATAGTTGACCCTTAAACAACATGAGAGTTGACCCTCCACACAACTGACAATCCACATACTTTTGATTTGCCAGAGACTTAGCTACTAATAGTCTGTTCTTGACCAGAAGCCTTATCAATAACATAAACAGTTGATTAACACATATTTTGTATGGTATATGTATCATATACTGTATTCTTACCACAAAGTAGCTAGAGAAAATAAAATGTTTTTTTCAAACTGTTGCAAATCTCAAAACAATTCTCCAATGTATCTATTGAGATAAGTCTGTATGTAAGTGGACCCACACAGTTCAAACCCATATTGTTCAAGGATCAACAGTGTTCTGAATTTAAAGAATGTTAGAAAGCCTTTAACAAGAAGTCACACCTCATTACACATAGAGGATTTAAAAATGAATCTTCACATAGAAGCAATAGATGACAAGTTTAAACTTGATACCAAGCCCTTATGGAAAATATTGTTTTAAAAATACTCAGTTATTATAAATGATGTAAATAGGTAACACAAAACTAAGGGAAATGAAAGAAAGCAGCTGAGGATACACAGGTGCTGGTAGGGAATTATGTCCAAGATATAATGTTAAGTGAAAAAATCAGGGTGCTGAACCATGTATATAGTATGTTCCCACTGTGTACAAAAGAGTGTGTGCATCTGCCTATTTCTCTCCATCTGTGTGTGTGTGTGTGTATGTATATATATAGTTGTATGTGAATATATGTCACTTTAAAAAATGTGGAAGGAACTTAATGGTGGTTGCCATTGGGCACAGTAGTACAGGAATGGGGTCTGGCATGAGAGGGAGAGCTTTTATTTTATATTGTTTGAATTATTTTATCACGTACAGGTATTATTTTCATAATTAAAGTCCTTTTACTATGCATAAATCAACACTAAAGTTTTCTCTGAACCCATTTCATGATGTTTTTGACAAAGTAAAAGTTTGACATAAGAATGCCTATTTATGAATAATGATGACTCTAAGGATATGATATATTTAATTCAGAAAGACCTTTCCTATCAAACACAAGTTCTTTCATTAAAATAGTGAATTACAACTATAACTTAGCACTTTGTTTCTTCTATTTGTCATTTTTTAAAAAAACAGAATAAATTATTGCAGGTGAATGAAAATGATTTTCTGAACAACCATCCACATAATCTCATATTCAAAGCACTTAAACACAAACACCTCAATCTGGGATTTCAAATACATTGGAACAAATGTCACTACTCCCTGTTCTTACCCAGTAGCACATGTTGTTAATGGATCACTGCACTCTGTCTGAGTGAATTTAGACTTGGCCTCAGAATCATTCTTAAGCATGCATTCTGGATGGTAATATGAATCTATACGGATTTGCACAGGAAACCTATTTTCTACTACACACCTAAATTTTTTTTAAACTCACGAATCAGATAAAAATACAGCTGGACTGTTTTAAAATTTAAGTAGTTAATCTAAAAACAGTGGTGTAAGGACAAATGGTTTTGTAATGTAAGGTAATGATAACATTTGTCATGTATATCACCTATGTTTTTCACAGCACATTTATTACATCACTTCATTTGTTCCTCAGAACGATGAGGAATGAAGTCAGAACAGATAAGTCAGAAGCAAAACTTATCTAGTTACAGTCAGTTCTATTCAATAAATATTTCTTGTAGATACTAGTCTAGCATAATGATGGGAACTCAACAAATATGTGATAAAATATTATCTTGGCAAATATTCCCTACGCAAGCTGCTGACAATTGCATATGCTGACAATTCCTGAGTTGCTTGAGTGTTGTGTACTGACCTCATTTTAGATAATTGAAAGGTATAATATTGAAAATGGAATTTGTGTGTGTGTGAGTGTGAGTGTGTGTGTGTGTGTGTGTATGCATGTGTTGAAAGATCTACCCATGGATATTATGCCCTTATTTCCAAGCAACTTATTTACTCTTGGGCAGATAATGATTTGTAAAAGCCATTTTCATCAACAAATTTTTACCAAGCAGAAGTCTAAGTACTATGCACAGAATGAATCATCACTGTTCAGAGCTATAGAAAATGTGCACTTTTTGGAAGGATAAAACTTACAGGTTATGATTAGGTTAAATTTCCCACACAACTTAGAGAACCGATATTAGTAACACACCTAGGACAATCAGGAATACAGGTATACCTGAACAGTAGAGATGATGCTGAAAGCCATCGTGTGCAGTAAAAAAATAAAAGCATCAATAAATGAGGAAATGGTGTCTAAAAATGATTGGAAGTAAGCAATGAAAGAAAACAGACATATAGTTGAGTCTAAATGACAAATGAAAACATCAGGTTATAAATGGTATGTACATTAAATCAACATTAAAATATATATGTAATATTTATACATAGAAATACATGTTGGAAGATAAATAACATCACCATCATGTGGACAGGGGCTCTTTCAGGATTGTGAGCTTTAGAGTAACCTTTATGTTTTTCTAAATAATTTTTATATTTTCATGAATTAATTTTTTATTGTAATGGGTCTCCATTTCTGGTATGGCCAAGTAGAGTTCTACTGAGCCTGACCCTCCCACAGATAACAGTTATAAACTCTGGACAGAACACACACACACTCACACAAAACAATGACCCAGAAGTAATGGAGAGTGAACAAAAGCAAATTATGGAAAGGGTTGAAACTTTGAGGAAGGGAATGGTAGGAAGTTAAATAAGATTTTTATAGCTTTTAGCTGAGACTACACTGACATTGGTGTAGCAGAAGTGGATTTAAAAAACATTAATATTCATCAAAGAAATACAATAGAATCCAGAATCTCTATAACTTATCATTCATGATATCCAAGCTACTAGACAAACTTACTTGTATTTCCTAATTCAGAGAATTAGGAAAATGTGACTCCAGTTCAAGAAAACAGACAACCAACCCAGAAATTAGAACCAACATATGAGAATATTAATGTAGTTATTATAACTATGCTTAATGAAATAAAAATACACTCACAATGAATATGGAGGGTTTTTTTTTTAACTCAGCAAAGAAACAAATCACAAAGCCAAAAGAAAATTCTGGAACTAAAAAATACAATGTCTGAAATTAAAAATTCACAAGATAAGTTTACCAGTAGAATGTAAATCATAGGGGAAGCATCACTGAACTTGAGGTCAGTAGAAATGATCCAAACAAGTGAGAAAAAAATTATTGAAAAGACAGTAACAGAACTTCAGTGACCTTTAGGATAATAATAAAATGTCTTGCATAGGTGTAGCTGAAGTCCCAAAAGGAGAGCAAGAAGAAAATGGGGATATTCAAAGATATTCAATCTCCTGAAATTTGGTAAATGATATAAATGTACTGATGTGAGAATCTAAGCCAACTCCAAGTAGGATAACTGTGAAGAAAACCATGATTAGCACATCTTAGACAAGCTGCTAGAATCTGAAGATAAAAATAAAATCGTGAAAGCAAGGGGAATAAAAACATTATATGTGATAAAAACAATTCTAATGATTGGTGGCTTATCATCAAAAACTATGGAATAGATCAGTATCCTTAAAGTGCTGTAGAAAAAAACAAAATAACCTTGAATTCTATATCCAACAAAAATATCCTTCAAGAATGAAGGTGAAATAATGACATTTCAGATGAAAGAATTAATACAAGTTATCCCCAAAGACCATAAAATTCTTCAGGTTGAAGGGAAATGATACCAGATGGAAACATTTCTTCCGTAAGCATTGAAGAGCATTAGAAATGGTAAATACATAGGTAAATATAAAGGACTTTCTTTAAAATACTTAATATTGGTTAAAACAAAACTTCCTGTCTTCTGTGGATTGTGAAGTATTTAGATGCAATAGAAACTCTAGTATATCCCACAGTTTGGCTGCCATCTCAGTGCCATAGTGTGGGGTAGCACGAGTTGGCAGGGTGGCCAAGGTGGTAGGAGTGGGGCAGAGACCCAGCATGAGGTAATGGCACCATCTTGGAAGTGGCAAAGGCGAGGTTCCCATGCTGATGTCATCAGGGGAAGGCCTGGGCACAGATCCAGCCTTTCTGGGGGCATGCTGGGGGATAACTTGGCAAGTCTAGGGCATCCACACATCCCAGTGAAGAGTGGATGGATGATGTGTGTCTTGGCCATCACGGCGGAAAGACATTTGCGTCTCAGACCTCGGCTGCCACATTGGTGGCAGAGATTGGAGGAAGTAGGGGGTGCTAAATTCTGGGCCTTCCCACCATCATACTGGACAGTCCCCATTTCCTTCCAGCCTTAAGTGTCAAGATTGTTTACCAGTTCTTAGAGGCACTGTGGCCTGTAGAGCCCCAGGGCAGCTCTTGGGGTTAGGGGATTGGCAGGGTCAACTCCCTGGGAAGACACAGCAGGCATGGCTGAAGTTGGTGCTTGCACTCCCCAGGAGGAGGAAAGGGGAGCGCCTGGCCCCAGGGGCCTTGGTACCAGCCCACCTCCCTGCCTAGGTCCGCTTGTGCTCCAGATGGCCCTGTAGACTTAACTTCCCCAGCTGGCCGCCTTCCCATGGAGCATCCCTATTGAGAGCCTAGGCCCTTCTTGGGTGTTGGACACTGCATTGCCTCAAACTACAGTTCCACTAGAGCAAAGGAAGGAGGCTTCTTTCTCACTTAACCACTACCTGGGAGATGGGGAGTCTCAGCTGGGTCACTGCTGTCCTGTATCAGAGAAGGCATGCCATAAGAAAAAAAGAAAGAAAAAAAACCTCTCTAGTATGAAGAATGGGGAGTAAAACCTATATTGTAGACAGGTTTCTATGTGATATGGCACAATATCAACTTCAAGTAGATAGTGAAAGTCAAAGATGTATAGAGCAATCCCTGGAGAAACCACCAAAGGGTAAAGCAAAGAGGTATAGTAAAAAATAAGACAGATAAATTTGTGAATCTCCAGAAATTATTTAAAAATTCCTAATGGAAGCAGGAAGGGAGGTACAGAGGAATAAAAATCAAAGGGCACAAACAATGTAAACAATAAGATGGGGGACCTAAATCCAACCAGAGTAATAATTACATTATAAGTTCATGGACTGTTCTCAAAAAAGTAAACATAGATAGATATACCATACAATCTAATATTTACACTTCTGTGTATTTAACTGAAGAAAACAAAAACACTAATTTGAAGAGATACATGCACTCCTGTTTATTGCAGCATTACTTACAATAACTGAGATACTGAAGCAACCTAAGTCCCATTAATAGGTGAACAGATAAAGAAGATGTATATATACACAAAGGAATATTACTCAGCCATAAAAAGAGTGAAATCCTGCCATTTGCAACAACATTTATAGACCTAGAAGGTATTATGCTAAGTGAAATAAGTCAGAGAAAGACAAATTACACATGATTTCACTTATATGTAGGACTAAACAAAACAAATGAATAAACAAAACTCAGAAACAGATTCATACAGAGAACAAACTGGTGGTTGCTGAAGGGAGTGGATGGGGACAAGCAAAAC